ATTTCTGTATTTTTATTACATATAAATCCGTTCCCTAGTTAATTAATATTTATACTGTAAATACTTATTACTAATACTTATACTATTAATAATTTTTACATCATTATTATTTACTTTTTAATGTCATTAAATATTATCAACAAGTTAAACAAGAAAAATTGTTATATATTATATTATATGATCATTTTTTCTAATTAAATTTAAAAATGTTAAGATAAATGTATAAAAATAAAAAATAATATAATGTCTACCTATATAGTTAATTTCTTAAATTAATAATATTTAGGTAAAATTATTTAAAATTATATAAATAAAACCCATTCCCTTGGCTTTTTTATGTTTTATATGTTTTATTTAGTAAGTTAAAATAATGTTAATTGTATGTCTCAGGAACGAAGTCAGGGAGATGTGTTATAGGTGTAGTAACACCTCCCCCCCCATAGGCTGTGTTATACTGAAGTCTTATAAAGATAAAGATTCATCATAAAACGTAATGAACACATATCATAACGATATGTATAATTATATACATAATACGATAACAATAATTTAAAGCCGGAACCCGGCTTCTCATTAAACTGTTTGGTCAAATAACCTAAAGCCGTGGTTTTGTGTCGTTTCATACACGATTTAAAATATAAATAGAAATATATATAAAAAAATATATTAAGATATAATATAAATAATATAAAATATATATTAAAAGATATAATACACATTTGAAATTCGAATATAATATTTAAATATTTTTTCATATATTAGTACATTACACATGAATAGATAATCATGTGTAATGTATTAATGTGTTTGCAGGGTTGGATTTGGGGGGGGGGGCACGGGGCCCAGGCCCACATTTGTGTACATATATTTTTCTTAATGCTGATTAATCAGGTATCGATTAATTAGTATATTTTTCGAGAAATTTATGAAAAGTTGGTTGCGATAACTTATTCAGTGGTATATTCGCACTTAAAAAAGCTTTACAAAGGTCACTATTAAAACTTGAGTTTGATGAAGTTGTGATCAAAGTTTGAAGACATGAAGTTTCTTTATCGTTTTTTTTTTTTTTTAGACACCTACAATATGCTTGTTACTTGTTACGTGTTGTTGTATAGTAAATTTTTTTTCCGCTGAAACTCTAACTTCACAAACTTTACAGTACAATATTGTACCATCCGTACTAAAAAGATCAGCGCCAAATTCATTGACGTACTTTCGTAATGTTGACGAGAAAAGTGGTTTTGTTTTCGGCATGTTACTGTTAACACATTTCACTGTACATTCGCGAACGCCGAACAGATATTAAACGACAATTACCTACTAAAATTATTATTCAACCACTTAATCTTAACTGATATACGATATGCCACAAATAACTTATTATATCTGTAGCAATTGCCTTATTTTATCGATGTATATACAGTCTGTGTGTAAAAACAAATTTTTTTTTCAAACATGTCAATTGACGGAATTTGATTAAAATTACCGGAAAATTAACTAAAAAATGAAAATATGACCTAAAAAATTAAAAACGTCAAAAAATGCAAAAAAATACAAAATAAAAGTTTCATAAATGGATTCATAGTTAAGTACATATTTCAAATTATGTACTTACATAGCTACGTTTCACAATCACCAAAAAAAAAAAAAAAAAAATGCATTTTCCTACAAATTCACAGCCCTATAACTATAATTTATAGTTTTTGTTACGCATGGGCGCCCGTAGGGGGGGGGCAAGAGGGGGAATTTGCCCCCCCTGCAATTCAATAGAATGTTGAATATTTTAACTTTTATTTTGATTTATCAACATTTTATCGATATTTTTACTTTAGTGTGTGCCGTGTGGTGTTGTTGATCGTAATAACAGTATATTATAAGGCGTACCTACAAAATAATGCGTATTACATTAATCGCGCAAAATTAAATACGTTTCAATTCTGTGAATTGATATTAATCGCCTATTGTGTAAACCATTTATGACGATCGACGCACCACGCACACATAGCTTCAGTTTTTATTTAACTAATTTTTTAGGTTGTAAGGAATATATTTTTAATGTTCTTTTTGGTGTTGGATTTCATATAATTCTAACACAATTTGTAGTTTACAAGGAATAAACTTTTTTTAATGTATTTTTTTTTTGTGTTTGATTTCATTATGCCCCCCCCCCCTGATAAATTTCCTGCGGGCGCCCATGTTGTTACGTATTACTATTACGTATACTATGCTAAATACATTTTAGTATACATTAAATTGATTAATAAAACTTAAAGTTTTAAAACCGTAGTTAAAAATAAATAAATTCTTTGTGTCGTAATATAATCGTTGCCTCATTCTCACTTTTGATTTTCTAAAACTTATACGAGTTACAAATAATGGGTTCGAGTTCCAAGTCCGAAATTGGCAATAGGTGTCCGTTAAAGTTTATAATAAAAGCCGTTTACGACGTATTTGTTAACATTTTCGGTTTAGTTAACGCGTACAATGTCGTTATTATAAATGGACAGTAAAATAAGACATACGAGTACATACGACCGGACGGTAAACATTTACCAGTTGCATATTATAATACCACTTGTACAGACATTTCGTTTACGTAAATTGGTTGATATTAAGTTACGTATATAAAGGGACAATTCGCAATCGAGCTACAGACGTGAAAATCTATTACTTTATTACCATGTTACTCACAGTACCATATACAAATTTCATAATGACAATTAAAAAAATTTATTCATCATAGTCGATCAAATATTGTATACCATTGTAAGATAGAACACTTCATAAATACCCTTAAATGTATTTTTCTCGATAGTACGATGTAGTACCTATATGAATTTAATTTGATGTTAAATTATTCGCGACTTACAGGTTGCACACTAATGTGATATACTATATATCAGCAATCGCCAATCTTTTGAACTTCGCGGACTACTAAATCCATTCCTTAAATTCTACAGACCACTTACCTATATATTTAAGGTAATTACAATTTATATTATAAGTTGTATGTCCTTTTCTGGTCATCCCCGACCACGTTACAATAGCTTTTACATAATTACCACTCCCCTAATGTCTTATACAAAATTAATAAAGAAGGATTTTTTATTTATTTAAAATGACAGTTATAAGTTACTGAAATTATTACAAATTCATTAAAGTTAGTATATAAATAGTCAGTAGATACAGGGCCGGGTTAGCCCGGCGAGTTACCGAGCAAAACTCGGTGGGCCGCGACAATTTTTGGCCCATTAAGTTATGAAAGGCCGCTAACAGAAAATATTAATAGTTTAAAGTTGAAGATTAGTGCACCTATTGAAATATGCGATTAGAAAAATTTGGACAAGGGCCGCCAGTTAGTAAATGGGCCAGTAACATACAGAAAATTCGGTGGGCCGAATTTGTCCAATCCAGCCTTGAGTAGATATACATATTAATCTTAATGTATCATTTGTTTTTGTTATGAAAAAGTTAGTGTGCAATTTTGGCTTCAATATAATCACTAAAAGACGTAGAGCTTTGCTTATTTATAGTCGAGACCGGTACTGTGTCTTAATAGCTGTGACAGATAATAATCTTTTTTCGCATAAATATATTGTTGAAAATTGAATTAAAATGTTCATTGATTTTTCACTTAGCAATGGGCATTTGCTCTACAAAATATGTGATGAAAATCATAGTGTAGTTGATGGTACAATTTTTGCTAAAATTAAAGATACTTAAACCAGAAATATTGCTGTAGAGTATCTAATGAAATTGAAAAATTTGCTGTATTCTTGGACATAATCCAAGCTGATTGTTGTACAATTAGTGAATCTACTCATATTTGTCATATTTTGTCATATATTATATTAAAATAAAAATCAACAAAATTCGTTTAAATGATATTTAAAAAAAAATTTAGATATTATTAGATATATACGTACATTTTTTGTTTATAATTAAGATTTTTATAATAAAATACTAACATACATATTAGATTATTATTAAATATTTTATTAGATACATACATGCATTTTTTATTAATTACATACATACTTATTTATTTTTTTAAAAAATCGGTAATTTTTTTTGTGTGTATCCACATGCGTTTACGCGATCAATAGTGTTGTCTAAATTTAGAATATTACAAAATACATTGTTGTCAATATCATGTATTTGTAAAAAATTTAAGACGACGCGGAGACCTAATTTTGCTTCATTCGAGCTTATGGGGCGATATAAGAAACCCTAGACGTCACAGTGCTGGTTTAAAATACGACACTTTTATTGGTCGATTTCAAATTGCCGCGCTTTTATATATGAATTATTATTGACTATCTATATTTTAATTATATTATAATTATGTTTAATTATGTGATAATTATCACCTAATCATCATGTTATGATATTATCATTGTTATTATTGTTATTATTTAATAATGATATCGAGAAAAACTTTTTTATTTTTTTAAATTATATTTGTACATTAAATCATCAAATATGAACCTTAAGGCTCATGACTCCTTTTGACATCATGTTCTTTAATGTGATATTAAATGATAAGTAACGGCCCTAAACATTATTTTATTGTATATTTGAGTAGGAAACTTTATTTTCTATGGAGTGGTTATACTGTAAAATCACATTGGGTATTTTGTTATCAATAATTATCAATCATTCAAAAAAAAATGTTACTGTTTTTTTTTCGTTACATGGTCGTGTTTGCTGTTCATTATAGGTAAGTAATATTCATAATTAGTGATTTTTAAAAATATTACGTTTCTAATATATAATTAAATATTAATTTTGTGTCAGAGAGCATTATGTGCCAAGTGAACAATAATTACTGTGATATTCAAATGATGATCCCAAAACGTATCACTGGGTTATTTCTTTTTATCGTGTTGTATATTTAATGGAATTATATATGCCCATTGATTCGATTTGACATCATTAAGTCTTATTAGAAATATTTGCAGTTAATTTTTTATTTTATTTTTTATGTAATTGATTATAGGTTTAAAAATGAGACAAAGAAATAAAAATAAACTGACTGATGATCAAATTGCAAATTATTTATTAGCTGAAGACACCTTAGATATTGAGGAATTGGACGAGGGAGATGATATAAATTTAGAAAATTTAGATGAGATGCTTCATATGATAAAGGTAATAAATATTTAAGTAACCATATTATTATAGAGAATTAACAAGCAAATGTGTTATTTTTAGGATGTCGAAAATGAAGAATTGTTTCTTGTTTCGCCTAAATTTAATATTTCTGAAGTACTTCCAACCGAAACACAATTATCGGTGTCTCCAGTTATACCAGTCACAACAAATGCAGAAATTTCTATTTCACCATCTCGGGACTCATCTACACCTGTAACTTTAAAAATCATCACTAACAACGAGGTACTAGAATATGATTAGAGTAATATACCAGTAGGTAAACCTAACTGGAATAAATCTGTTTGGTCTGAACCATATCCAACTAGTAATTTACCATTGCCACCACCTCAAGCAGAACTACTTACTCCACTTCAATATTATTAATTATTCATTGATGATAGTGTAGTTGAAAATTTCGTAAATCAAACAAATTACTATTCTTGTCAAAAAAAATGGGTCGAGTATCAATACTTATTTTTCTGAAATGGAACAGTATTTAGGAATACACTTTTATATGAGTATCGTAAAAAATGCCATCCTATAGGATGTTTTGGAGCTCACAGACTAGATTTTCAATAATTAGTGATAACATGTCACGTAACAGATATGATAAATTACGATCTAATTTTCATGTAAACCATTATGAAAATTTACTTCCACGAGACAACTCAAATCATGACAAACTTTTTAAAATCCGTCCGTTTATAGATTCTGTTAGGAATAATATGAAAAGAGTACCAGTTGAAGAATACAGTTCAATTGACGAAATAATTATACCATTCAAAGGTAGATTTGTCATGAAACAATATAATAAAAACAAACCGCATAAGTGGGGTATCAAAATTGTTCGAACAGGCTATTGCGTTCTGTCTGGCCGCGACAACCGGTTCCCCCCGATAGCGTGCCGATTCTGGAATGTTCGAGAACTTTCGGTCGGCACGCTTCGTCGCGCTGGCATCACGATCCGGGCGATCCATGGTCCGACACTTGCAACCGAGCGAGCTGGTGGTTCCCACCGGGTGTGTGACTTTTCTTTTGCCGTCGTGCATGTTACCGCCGGGTGTGTGACGTTTCTTTTGCCGTCGTGCATGTTATCGCCGGGTGTGTGACTTTTACTTTGCCGTCGTGCGTATCACCGCCGAGCGTATTACCCCTTTTGCCGTGGTCCGTCAATTTCGTGTGCGTGGCTTGTCCTTTCCACATCGCCATTCAAGCCATCGGCAGTGTCATCGTCGTCGAGGTTGGTCGCGTCCAGTGAGCTTCCGAAGTCGTCAACATCTGTCGGTCTTGGTGGCTGTCGCACGTGCTGTGTGCACGGTCGCGTGGGCGCAACCACACAGACCATAAGACCGATCGAGGTATTTATGATCGAAACTGGTGACACGTAGCGTGATTTAACTTGTGTATTGTTCACAATAATTATTGTTCATTTGATTATTTTAATCCTTGGGCGCCCATCAAATGTGTAATTATTATTATTGTTATTATTATGGGATATTTACTTTAATACAAATTAACGGTATCATAATTTATGTCCTTGACTTAATTTGAGGCTACCTCTGTCCCTCATTCCTTTTTGCGGATTGACGTTGTAGTCGGGTTTATTTCGAGTGTGGCGAAGCCGTCGGGTTACCTCTGTCCGACCATTGAGGTTTCGCGTACATTTTTGGTAGCAGAGCGTGGTTAAACTCCACACATTTTTTTTTATATATGTTTGCTCCACACAATTTGGAACGTCAGTTATAATTTTTTCAAGGGAAAGATTAATTTTATATTGAGGGGTATTCCACCACTTAGGGTTTTCCGTATTGCCTGTCGGCTGCCGTCGTTGACGTGCAGTTATCGGTGACATCGTCATCTGTTTACCACCGGTCGGTTCACGTCCCGCTACATTTATCATTACCGGCTCTCTATTATCGATAGCTTTATTGATTCATTGTTTTTTTTTTCGTTCGGATTAATTATTATCATGCCTTATAACGACGTCGGTAGAGATAACGCGACAGAAAAATCGCGTCAGGAACGATGTATGACCAGGGCAATTACGAAACGTACGACGATTATCGCGTCTATTCGTGCGATACACGCATTGTCATTACGTGCAGATAAAGAACCGGGTCTCATACCTGAGTTATTAATTAGTGTCGATGGCCTCGATGCATTATGGTCGGATTTTAATGTCGAGGATAATGCAGTTCTTGATTGTTTGATAGAATTAGATGTAGTTGTTGATTATTCCCCAGATCTCGTTCCCGAGGTGCGCGGGCTCGTTAACGCAGCAAAAGCCGTAGCTGCCCTTTATCGCACAGCGACTAATGTCGATCATGTTCACACGACTCCGATCGAATCTAATACGCACACACATGCGTCTCTATCACGGTTGCCTGAAATTCCACTGCCACAATTTAATGGTAATCTTCATAATTGGGCTACATTTCGTGATAGATTTACCGCGTTAGTGGACACCCGTCCCGGTTTGGCAAAAATAGACAAACTGTATTACCTGATCGGTTGTGTGAAAGATTCTGCTGCTGACGCGATACGTGGTATTCCAGTTGTTTGCCATTGATTCCAAGAGTGGTATAATTCATGACTTTGAAATTTATGTTGGGAAGGGCACTGTACAACTGTTCGACACAGGACTTGGGGTCTGAGCGGAGACATCGTCATGCGATTAACTGAATGCATACCTAAATTTGAAAATTATAAAGTAGCTGTAGACAACTGGTTTTATTCTTATAGTCTCCAATGTCGTACAAAATATGCGGGCTTACAATGTATTGGAACTGTACGATCAAATAGAACGGGTAATTGTGATTTTGAGACTGATAATGTAATGAAAAAAAGTGGACGTGGCTCGTATAACTGGAAAGTTGACTCTACAAATGAAATAGTTTTTTGTAAGTGGTTTGATAATAAGTATGTGCATATTATATCAAACTATATGGGAATAGACCAACTGATTCCGTTGAAAGATGGAGTATGTCAAATAAAAAATATGTTTCTGTTGTCAGACCAGCCTGTGTGAAGGAATATAATAGCTTCATGGGGGGAATTGACCTGCATGACATGCTGGTAGAATTGTACAGGACAGAAAATAAAGTTAAACGCTATTATTTACGAATCATACACCATATTTTAGATATGTGCACTGTAAATGCTTGGTTACTATACAGAAGACACTGTCAGCAATTACACATAACTAAGTATCAAAGTATGTTGCAATTCAAAACTAATATTGCTGAAGGACTTATAAATGCTGGATTTAATAAAAAAAAACAAAGGGGACGTCCATCTTCAAGTATAAATTTTGTAAATCCTACAACTCCTAAAAAAAAGAACATTGGCCATGTCCTATTAGTGAAAGAGGTGCAAACATTGTTCAAAACATAGTTATTCTAGAATGAAATGCGAAAAGTGTAATGTTAACCTTTGTTTGAATAATAATAAAAACTGTTTTGTAAGTTTTCACAACAAATAACAAATAATTAAATTAATCAAATGCCTAATTCATTGTTATTTTGTTTTTTACTGTATTTTATTTTATTTCATTTAATCATTACTATACTCTTTTGTCTTAACCCTTTATAGGGCAGAGGGAAATTATTTCCCACCTTAGCAAAAAAAAATACTGTAACTTGTGATTTTAGTGAAATAATTTCCCACTTATATGAAGCGAATGTTCATAGTTTTCTGCGTTTATTATTATATAGGTATTTTTACTCTAGCACACTCTAGTAATGAGTTATTGAAATAAAACGTTCCCAGCGGGAAATAATTTCCCACTGCCCATTCATGGTATCTGATTATTCCGAGAATTATTTATAGTTTTGTTTCAATTGAAATTTATTGTTGATAAAATCGTTTAATTTATCTGTGATCAGTATAATTAAATACCTAGCTTAGTTTTTGGTCTTTATTTTCGTGTGATAATGAAATATCATATCATACTGTATTATTATTATTAATTTTTCGTGACACGTTTTTCATGTCAATATTTTTTTACTCTAACTAAAACGACTACAAAGAAGATAGATTGCTGTTAGGAACTCAAAGATTGTATCAATTTAACAAATAAGTCATAAGGAATCAATATATATATATACGGTAAGTGTATTACATACCCCACATACTTAATATTTTCACTTTATTGTGAATTTTTAATGAACAATTTGTTTAATTTTTACATTAATTGCAGATGGATTATAAACTTAATGATCAAGATATATTATATGAGTTATTTGATATAACCACCATCCCAAAAAAGATCAAAAACAAACTTGGAAGTAATTTCAACTATTGAAACACATATTGCAACTAAAATTTTTAAATACAGACGCTGTTTTAGATGTAGTACCAAAAAACATGACAAAAGATCTAATATGATATGTGCAACTTGCAACAAGGTTTTATGCAAAGATTGTTTTGCTGAGTACCATAAAACTTAGTATATTTTATTGATTTTAATGGCCTATTACAACAGTTGATGTATTTTTTTTTTTTAGAAAGTTTATTTTATTTTCATTTTCAAGACTGAATTGAATTATCTAAGTCAAGTTAATCTCATAATTTTATTTTGAAAAATTGATTTTATTTGTTTTTTATTATAATTTTATATAATGTGAAGTCTGAAATGTGAATCAAGATTATTCTACAAAGGTTTTAATTTTTTTTTTTTTTATTCATTATTTTTTGTTTGTTTAATTATTATAATAAATTATAAGGTTTACTATAATATCATAAGAATTTAATTTATCAGTTGAGAACATTTGTATTTTCAGGTTACATATATCTTAAAATACAATTCAATACCTATATAGCATGTCATACATACATTTTATTCCATAAAAATAGTTAAAATTAAAAAAAATTGTAGTATGGTATTAAGTGGGAAATTATTTCCCTCTGCCCATGGTACATAAATACGAAACTAAATGCTCAGTGGGAAATTATTTCCCACCATTTTTTTTACCAATGTAAATGAAGTTACGAATTGTTTGACATTTTTACAGTAACTTACATCTGTAAAGAAGTAAATTTGAAAATTTGGTAGAAATCGTACAATATTTTTTTCTGTGCCTTATAAAGGGTTAAGTATAGACTTATTATAATTATCTTATGTTTTTATTATATTGTATTGTAGACTGATTATAAGTATCTTACAAGTCTGAAATATTTAAAGAATTTTAAAATTTAATTAATTATCCAATTGTTATCTTAAAATGTGCAAACTTTCTGTTCTCATTTTATTATAAAACTATATATTTTTGTTATAAAGTTATTCTGTCAATTTTTCATATATATGAATTGTGACTATTTTTATTTGAAATATTTTGCAGTATTTTTTTTAATAAAGTATGTTGTTATTGTCTAAAATACTTAATATTATTCATTTAGAATATAATCCAAGTTACAAAATATCATGTTATCTAATACCCAGTGATCTCATTTGACATAATGTGTTTTTTGACTCTAAAAAAAATAGTAAAAGAATTTTTTTATTCAATTCATACTATTTAAGCCCTATTTAATAAAGAATCATAAAAAAAATTTTTTTTTTTCATGTCTCTCACTATGTAGGCTGCAAAGGGTTAAATATATCATAGTTGAAATAAATATAAGTAATAGCGAACTGCGTTGCACATTAGTAGATATTATTAAGAATGATGTCGAAGTGATACATTGTAATTTAAATACTGAATATGATGACATATTTTTTGCTTCATTCAAAGAAAAAAGTGCCACTAATTGGATTATACAGAGATAATTAAATAATCCAGTGAGATGTGTAAAATATATAATTAAGTATATTTATAACTGCTGATATTTATTATTACCATTCTTAATGATATTTTGAATGTTAATTTTTAAGACATAGAAATTGCCACAGTATAATTACTTGTTAGTAATATCACTGAATATTATAAATAATAATGATTAAAATATTATTATATTCATGTTAATACTAAATAGGACTGGTAATAGTAATTTTAATATTATCTATGATATATGAAATGGAAAACAAATAGGACAGGTATTTAAATTATTTTACAATAATTGTATCTTAGTTCCAACTATAATTTATTGAAATTGTAAGTTGTACCTAGTAAGTATTATTAACTATCAGCAAAAATGAACAATATTGCAACAAATTAATCAAAAAAATTAGAACATTTTTTTAAGAAACCCTAAGGTCACATTATCCTCATTTAAGAGTGTTACAAATATTAATTATTTAGTTATTGAAAATTTAAAATGAAATAATATCAAAGAGCATATACATTAATGGGTAGATAATGATAAAACTGTATATTTTTAACACATACTTCTGAAAACTGGATTTGTTCTAAAAATTGTAACTGCCACTGGTTTTGATGTCATGATTATGTTTACCAATCAAAGTTAGTCTTGAAGATAATGTAGGTATAATTTTAAGAGGTCATATAAAATAATGCTGATATTATGTAAATCACAAAATAAATATACAATATTCTAGCATTATTTTGGACAATTGTTCTTATTTATTTCATCTATGATATTTTTAAGATGCATATTTGATGACTTGATGTACAAATATTAATTAATTTACTTTAATTTTTCTTATTTATTTCATCTATGATGATAGCACAATAATAATAATTCATATATAAAAGCGCGGCAATTTAAAATCGACCAATAAGAGCGTCATATTTTAAACCCGCACTGTAATGTCTAGGGTTTCTAATATAGCTTACAGGGGGCTCTTTGAAACATTCTTCTTTGTCATCAGCTTTATTCAAAATCTTATCATCATTGAGAACTCCACAGATAGAAAAATCTATTTAATCATGTAGTATCAATAAATAAAATTTAAAAATTTGTTACATTGCGAGAACTTTGATCAAAAAATCTTTGTTATGTCGAGGGGACCAAAATATATTTAATTTTTCGTTATATCACAAGATTTTCAAGGGACCGACAGTTTTATATGTTATATCGAACTTTGTTATAACGTGAGTTAACTGTATTTTATTTATTGGTAGTAAATGACAAAAGTCTATTGGACAATTTTATCCAATAAATGATACATAATATAGGCTTGACATACTTTTTATAATGATTATGCATTTGTTTTCACTTTTTAGTTTTATATAAAATTAGTTAGTTTAAATTAAAACAAAACAGCTTAAACAGAGCATTAAAAAAATAGAATCTCAATAATAATAACAATAATGAAAATCTTAACTTAAAATAAAATAATGAATGAAAAGTAATTTCATTACAATTAGATGTTTTAATTTTAACAATTTATGTAAACAAATTATTGATAAGTTTCTTAAAAAAGTAATTTTGTCATAGAAACAAGTCATTTGATTTACATAATTATTCTATTTACTTTACAATAATATAATATCATACTGAATCAGAACAAATGATAAAATTGCATTTTAACCAATCTATAATATATAATACAAATTTAAATTTCTATTTAGTTATAAATACAGGTATAATTTATTTATGAAAAAATAACTTGCAATAAAATACTTATTTTATACATATTTTCTATTTAAAATTATATTAATGAGATTTTTCTTTTAAAATTATGAACTATGTATTTAGTTAAACAAATATCTCCTTGTTCCTGGGTTTAACAGGATGAAAAAAATGATAAGTATATTATATAACATATATTTAATTACAGTACATTTCAGTAATTTCAAATTGTGTTATTAATTAAACTTGAATTAAAAGTTATTTAAATATTGTCAGCATGAATGCAATTTGTTGGATTGTTTTTCGTCATCTTTTCTTGTTTTTTTTTTAGCTTCAAGAACAGGCAATTATTGGCATCATAATATTGCTGTTGGCATTACAAAATAGTTAACAATTTTTTTAAACATTCATGGCTAATATAATATTCAGGGCTCGGAAGTTCTAGCAAATGCATATTTTTATTGGTTTGTCCTAGAACATCCAAAGTAAGATACAAATATGTTTCACACTTCTCTGATGTCATACACGATATTTTATTTTGCTATTTTTTGCATATTTACGGTTTTTACTGCTATTTTGCAAATTTTAGGTTTTTAGTGCTATTTTTGGGTATATTTAAGGAAATAAACACATATTGTTAAAAAAATAAATTACCTACCAAACAGCCGCCTACGAATATGTGAACGAAAACAAATTGTTTTATTTTAAGATGGTACGCATCCGGAATAAACGGCCTTAGACCGTTGTTATCGTCGATCAAATCGGACAATTCCGTTAATTTCCAATAATTTAGTTATTTTTAAAATTGTATCAAAATATGAACTGCAGTTATCGAATTCGTCGTATTTACGTAAGATACAGCGTTATTACCGTACGTAAAAACCTATGAATTTATTTTAGTTGTCTGCGTTCTGCCGTCATTTGCGTGTTGCATGTGCGTTTGATCGTGAACTATCGTATTTATGCGAAGTCAATGTTAATTCTGACAAAAAGTTTAACGTATCACAACATATAAAAAGTGACAAACATATCAAAGGCCTTGCCCGATATGAAAATCAAATAAATCGGAAACAACAGCAGTTATTGATAGCGACAAGTAATATTAGTAAAAAATCGTCAATAAACAAAGATTTGTGTGAGGCTTTTATTTCTGCTAACATTCCTTTGAACAAGTTAGAAAACTCAAAATTCAAAACATTTTTGGAAGTATATTAAAAAATTAAATTCCAAGTGAATCCACGTTGCGAAAAGGATAAGTGGATGATATTAACAATGAGACCACTGATGTACAGGGTCGTTACATTGCAAATGTAATAGTAGGCACTCTTGAGGAAAATAATGCAGGCAATATGTTTTTACTTAATTCGAAGGAACTAGAAAAAGCTAACCACTCCACAATCAGCAAACTTTTTGATAATCAATGAGCATATTATGGCCGGCTGGTATCCACCATGACAATGTACTTTTATTTTTATCCGATGCCGCACCTTACATGGTTAAATCAGGAGAAGTACCAAAAAGCCTTTACTCAAAAATGATTCATGTAACATGTGTTGTGCATGGACTGCACAGAGTCGCAGAAGAAGTTAGAAATCAATTTCACATAGTAGATAAAGTTATTTCAAGTGTAAAAAAAATCTTTAGAAAAGCCCCAAGTCGTTTACTTGTATTTAAATCGGAAGCGCCAAACTTACCCTTACCTCCGGAGCCAATTATCACACGTTAGGGAAGTTGGATTAATGCAGCAATTTATTATTGCGAGAATTTCGGGATAATCCACCGTGTTATTTTTATGCTAGACAGAAACGATGCAGTTACTATTAAAGATGTTCAAGATAACATTATAATACCTGGATTGGAAAACAACTTAACGTATATTAAGTCGAACTTTGCCAAATTAACTTTGGCTATTGAACAATAACAACGGCAACATGCCTTTATCGGATTTACTAAAAATAGTTCAAGATATTCAAAAATCATTTGAAACATTAAGTGGTCCAAATGGAAAATCTGTTCAAAATAAATTTAATCAGGTACAGGAAAAAAATCGTGGTCTCTTGGCGTTGGTAAAAATATCACAAATTCTAACGGGTGAAGAGACATTCCAAAATTTAGATGGTCTTCCCGAAGATTTAAATTGTAACGACTTAACATTTTTTAAGTACGCACCCGTGACGTCTGTCGATGTAGAGCGATCATTCTCGGCATACAAAACTCTACTATCAAATAATCGTAGATCATTCAAATTTGAAAATATAAGAAAACATCTTATTATTCAGTGCAGTTCTTAAGGTAAATAAAATTAATACACTATATTATTCATTTATTAATACATTTTGTTATATGTTTATGTTAACAGAAAATATTCCAGAGCCGGAAAAGTGCCTACTTCTCAAATATTTACTGTTCATATTTTATAAAAAAAACTTGTATAATTTAAAAAAATTTTAAATAAAACATTTTTGTAATGAAAATTAATTTTGCATATTTTCCAATTTTTAGTGCTATTTATAGCGCTTATATTAATGTTTTTACGTGCATATTTAAGCGCTAAAAATTAATTTTTTTAGTGCTATAACTTCCAAGCCCTGATAATATTATATAAAATGTTTGTCCATACCTCTAAACATCCTTTATTTTGATTTGTAGAAATGAATTATCAGTCTCAGATTTGATCTTTTATTAAGAAGTCACTTCATGACGTAGTTCATTTGACTATTGAGCTAGAATTAATATTTTGAACTAACTATATATATATATACACACACACATACATACATATAAATAATTAAATTTATATTAACTTACTTTTGAATTGCTTATAATATTGATTTTTGGTACATTTTTTATTTTTCAATTTACCCATATAGAAAATTGCATTGTTTATAATCGTAGTAATAAATCCGTTGACGTTTCGTCGTTTGATATCTTCCACAAATGCATCTAAATCCAAATGATTAAAAATAGTTAACTCTTCGAAATTACTAACAACTTATCAAAGATTACACTGAAGTGAATAGATGGAAATTCACAATTATATGTTCAACATTATAAAACATTTCAATAATCATAACATTGAAAAATCAAAATATATTTACGTCGATGATATTACACGGACACTAGTATAGTGTTCGAGAAGAATTGGTCGGTCCTTGAATCACAAGTAAACAAATATTAATCATATTTTATGAATTGTGTGATGGTATGAAATAACAGAATCAGTAATTTCGAAATAACAATTACAATCTGAGACTTCATTATGAAAAAAACAAAGACAGCTACTTTTTTTGCTTATAGCAGTTGGCCATATTGGAAAAATTAACAGCTAATTTTTTGCTGATGGTAGTTGGTCATATTATAATAGAAAAATTAACTGCTATGGCTATTCTGCGATTGTTAATTTTAACATGTGATTTGAAGAGTTTGATGATATTTTAAACTGTTATTTTTTCAAAGAGTAGCATTCACAATATATAGTAGTAGCAGTGATTTTTTACAGTAATAATTACTGTCTGCTATTCCAGAATGAAAATAGCGATTGCTGCTTTTTATAATAACTGCTATTCTTTGTAACAATTATTGATACTATCTTCTGTAAGTTTAACATGTAATTTGAAATTTGAATGTAATTAACTACTTCTTTAGTAATTTATTTTTGCAATAATAAAACATTATTAAAATATGAACATAGTGCAATATGAAGTTTAAAATGACAAAATATTTTTATTTATTCTAGTGATTTTATCTGTTATCTACGTTAATAAAGGAAATTCAATTTTGAAATTCAGGAATTCAATATTGATACTAATTTTAAAATACAATTTTGTAACGAAGGTAAATTTGAAATAAGTAATATTTTTATTATTTATTTTGACGAGACAAACTATCGTGGCATTTAGAGTTACATAAAATATATTTACATAGGCAGCGATTTGTCCCACATGACTTTTTGCAAGTGCATCTCATAAAATCTTGTCCTGATCCTGTTGAAGCTTTAGTTGCGGCTACGCGAAGAATAATATTATTACCGGGAACTTGATCTGTAGTTATAAAATAAACAACCTTTATGCACCAACAAAATTCAGACCTGCAATAATTTTACTGTTACTGTCCATTTACTTATTTTATATTATTTAGTGGAAGAGAAGGTGATAATGGGCGTACCTGCATAAGTTGTATAAAATTCCGTCTTAAGTTCCAATTTTGTAAAGACCCACCACTTTTTTTCCAATACCACTCCGATTACATTAACCCATTTGCGCCGGAGTTTTTTTATTTACAATTTTAACAACAT